GTGACACTATCTGGCACCGGGGTGTCCTATGTTGCAAAAACCACAATTCATTCAATGAGTTAAAATGTATAAAGCACTTAAAAGCCCATTTAAGTCCTAATGAGTTTATTAACTAAAATACAACACATACTATCTTCTGCCAAATTCTAGCATTTCCTGAACCCATTTTCTCTACCACTAATTTCTGGATGGAGTTCCTGGGTGGCGTATGCTCAATTAAGCTGCTAACCAAAAATTCAGAAGCTCAAGTCCAGCCAGATGCACTGCAGAAGAAAGGCATGGTGGTCAGCCTCTGAAGGTTCAGCCACTGAAAACTCAGTGAAGCCCAGCCTTCCACTGACACAGATGGGGCTACCCTGAGTCACAAGTGGATGGACCCGCTGTGGTCCACCTGGAATGCCCTCTCGAACTCTCTTACGCTCATCACTCTCACCCTACTCCCACCTCCTAGTTGTTGTTGTTGTTGTTATGCATTGTTGAGTCACTTGAGACTCATAGCCACCCTGTGACAGCAGCTCTGAAGCCTGCCCTGTCCTGAGCCAGTCTCACTGACTCCCACACACCTACCCTCTTTGCCCCAGTTACAGTACCAATCTGTCTCATTCAGGGTCTTCCTCTCCTACACTGTCCCTCTACCCTTCCGATCATGATGTCCTTCTCCAAGGACTGGTCCCTTCTGGCCATGTGTCCAAGGTATGTGAGACTGAGCTTCAAAATCCTAGCCTCCAAGGAGAAACTTAGTTTTATCCTCTCCAAGAGAGATTTGTTTTCTTCGTGGTCCATAGTATGTTCAAGACTCTTCTCTAGCACTGCAACTTAAAGGCATCAATTCTTCTTCTGTCATCCTTTGTCACTGTCCAGCTCTCTGAAACATAGCAAGTAATTGAGAAGACCCTGGCCTGGATCAGGTGCACCTTAGTCTCTAGACTGACATTGCTTCTCAGTCCTCTGGTGAGGTCCCTGACTGCAGATTTTCCCAGTGCAATTAATCTTTTGATTTCCTGACTGCTGGTGCCAGAGTTTTAATCATGGAGCCGAGCAAGCTGAAATTGTAGCAAATTCAATCTCTTCTCCACCAGTCATGATACTGCCAATTGGCCCAGTGGTGAGAATCTCAGTCTTCTTGATGTTGAGCTTCAATCCTTATTGAAGACTACAGTTCTTGACTTCTGCAGCAGGTGCTTCAGGTCCTCCTCAGTTTCAGCAAGCAGGGTTGTGTCACGAGTCTCCCAAAGCCTCTGATGTCACCTGTGGTTTACGCCAATGGATGCATTCCCACTTTTACCTCCTGTGACTCCTGCACGTGGCTTGGCATCCCTGACCGATCCTCCTCTGGAAAATGCCCTTTGCCCGGGGATGGGGAGGCCACACCGTTCCTGGCTGTCCTCTCCCTGCCCGGCCCTCTCCTTCTCTGAGGGACGCCCTCATCTTCCTCCTCCACCCTGCACACACTGGTGCTCCTCCAGGCTTGAGCAGACTGCCTGCACGCTCTCGGCTCCTCTCCTTCCCACCCGACAGCCTTACTGCTCAGGGACAGCCACAGGTGTCCTCGGTCTGCCGATTCACATAAGGGCCATCTGAAGTCCTCAAATCACATGTGGCAGTGGGAGTACACAGTCCACGTTGGCCCATTGTTGTTAGCTGTCACTGAGTCAAGGATGACTCACAGCGATCCTATGAACAGCAGATCTGAACTCAGTCCCAGTCTGTGCCATCCTCACAATCTCTGACACACTCCCGCCCATTGCCATAGACACTAGGTCAATCCACCTGGTTGAGGGTCTTCCTCTCCTCAGCCATTCTCCCACCTTTCCAAGCATGATGATCTTCTCAAGCAAAGCTACTCCTTGCAGAACAGGCCTACAGTGCACAGGACGAAGCTTGGCCATCATTGCCTCGAAGGAGCACTCTGGCTGCACCTGCACCTATCCGTATGCCGGCGCAGCTGCTCTGGTGAAATTGTGAGTCATGAAGAGACCCTGGCAGTGCTGTGGGCAAGAGTTCTGGCTGTGCTGGAAGGCAGTGTGGTGCTGCCTTAGAGAGCTGGGAGTAGAAATACCATTTGGTCCAGTAATCCCATAGCAGGTATGCTTCCCAAAGAAATAACAACTGTCACAAAAAGAGAGAGATGCACATCCATGTTCACTGCAGTATTACAATAGTGAAAAGATGGGGGAAGCCCAAGTGTCCAATAGTGGATGAGTGGAGAAAAGAAACAGCCTTTGAGCTGTGGTGTTGCAGAAGAGCACCGCATGTCCCATGTCTTGGAGAAGGTGCAGCCAGAGGGCTCCTTGGATGGCGAAGCTTCATCTCACATACTTGGGGTCTGTTGCTAGGAAAGGCTATTCCCTGGAAAGAGGCATCATTCTTGGAAAGGGGGAGTGTCAGTGAAAGAGAGGAAGACCCTCAACAAGACGGAATGACATCATGACTGCAGCAATGAGATCACGTATGTCAGAGACAATGGTTAGCACAGGGTAGTTCATATCTGCTGTTCATAGGGTCGCCCCTAGTTATATTTGACAGCACATAACAACAACTTTCACACAATGGAGTGAGTATTAGGCAACACTAAAGAATGGTAAAGGTAAAGAATTCATGAATCACTGCATGACATAGATGCATGTAGGGGACATTATACCAAGTAAAACTAGTTGGTCAGAAAAGGGTTGTTATAGTTGTATGCTGTTGTAGTGCACCTTCAAGCCAGCACTCACTCACTGCTGACCCTCCAGCAGGTTTGCAGAGGCAGTAATTACTCAAGAGAACACTGTCCATCTTTCTCCCTGGGAGCAGCCAGTGGATTCGAACTGTTAGGTCGGCAGTGCAGCTCGACTAAGCCAGAGTTCCCTTATCATATAGAATAAGACACAATTCTAAAAAGCTTATATACCATTAGAATTATTCTTGGATGTTACCAGGAATGAGAAAGCAGGAAGAGAGGGTTCAAAATTAACTGGCAAATTGGGTGATGGGAAAGGCAGTATTCAAGAAAGAGTTGATAAAACATTATCATTAATGAAACACAGTTATCAGTTGTAATTATAACACAAAATGTGTATGAATTATTGAGTGAATATGATTTAGAATTATTATTTATTATTTAGAATTATTATTTAGAATTATTGAGTGAATTATGATTTAGAAACTTTAACAAAAAAGAGCTCTTGCTGTTAATAAAAAAAAGTCAGTGGTTTGAACCCACCAGCTGATCTCCAAGAGAAAAAGGAGACTTTGCGTCCATAAAGATTGGAAGCTTGGGCACCCAATGGGGCTGTCCCGCTCTGTCCTACCGAGCAGCTGAGTTCCAGTCAGTTTGGCAGCAACAGGTTTGGCTTTGATCCAAAAGGAGTCTCTGGTGGCATTATGGGTAAGTACTTGACTGGTAAGCAAAAGGTTGGTAGTTTGATCCTCCCAGTAGCTCTGTGAGAGAAAGATCCGGCAAATTACTTCTTAAAGATTATATCCTAGAAGCTGTATCGTTGTTGTAATGTACTGTCGAGTCAGATCTGACTAGACCCATAGCAGGTTTTCAGGGGCAGAAAATCACACAGCAGGACCTTGTGCATCTTCCTCTCTTGAAGCTGTTGGTGGATTTGAACTGCATACCTTGGAGTTGGCAGCACAACTCCTTACACTGAGCCACCAGAGGGCTCTAGGAAGGGGTTCTTTCCTAGTTCTGTTCTAGTCTGTCTAGTTCTAGTTCTGCTCTAGTCTGTCAGACGAGATGACTGTGATTTGCGTTGACCGGATAGCACTCAACAATACCAACATGGTAAAAGCCTGGAGAGAAAGCCGTGTAAGAGCAGAGCTTTATTACTATGGTGATTTTAATCATAACCAAGACGAGAACATGAGGCAAGAGATGAAGCATTTGGACGAAGCACACACAGCTACACGATGTGATGCTGAGGAACGATGTCCAGGGGGCACGAAGGGACTGCAGGAAACAAAACTTACACCCACGGTAGCAGCATTCAGACTCAAATGGTGCCCTGCATTGGGTAAACCTGCCACCAAGCATCTCCTTGCAGTGCTCTGGAGAAAGGATCCCACCATAAACACCAAGCTGGGTCTGACTCAAGCCATGGCATTTTCAGTTTCTTACTCGTGAAAGTCAACCAATGAATGAAGAAGGCCACGGAAGAAGTGATGCCTTTGAATTGTGATGTTGGTAAAGAGAATTGACTGTGCAGAAACCCAAACACATCCATTTTGCAAGAAGCCAGTGGAAAGCTCCCTAGGAACAAGGATGGCGAGACTTTGCCTCACATAGTGTGAGCATCTTATCAGAAGGGGCCAGTCCCTGTTTAGATAAGTAAAGGGTCAGTGAAGGAGATGACCCTCCAAGAGATGGACTGTGACTACAGCGGGTTTAAGCAGTGGGGATGAGGAGGATGGGGCAGGATGAGGTAAGGTTTCCATCTGTCATATGTGGGTCACCGTGAGTCCACGCTGCCCAGAAGGCACCTAGCCACAACAGCAGTGGCTGCTCCTCTGAGACGTGCTACTTTGTGACATGTTACACTTTTCTGGGCCTCATCTCTTCCACTCCAGCAGGGGAGGACTGGGCCAGGTTACTCCTGAGGCCCCTTTGTGTAGAATGACACCAGACCGGGAGAGGCTGTAGCAAGTGTAGCCACCGAGGGGTCAAAAGTCATCTTGATGAAGAGGGTACAATGATGTGACAGTAAGCAGACCAGGAGTTTGGGAAGGAGGAGGGAAGCAGCAGGGTGGGTGTGGTGGGTGAGGCGAGAAGCTGACAGCAGGGAACAAAGGGTCTGCTGGTAAGAAAAGTGTACTATGCCAGAGTTCACCATTTCTCACACCCCCCAAAACAAAGCTTTCAACTTGTTTTGACCTCTGATCCACACACTAGCACACTAGCAAATACAATTTACACTGAGACATTTATGAAACAACATTTGCCCTTACTAAAACCAGTAAACTATTTCCTATCACATCCTGTGTGATTTTTTTTTAAGGTGGTTTCCACCTACTGAATTTATGTCATCATCTGGTAATGTGTCACGACCCAGTTTTTTAAAAGGAAGGGTAGACTCAAGGCTTCCTGAGCTGAGGCGCCGGCTGGGCCCCCTATCAGACATCCTGGAGGAGGCTGGAGGGGCGCGTCCCGTGGCCTCGCTAGGGAGAATGTGCGGAAGGTCGAAGTGCAGTTCGATCGGAGAGAAAGGGTGGGGAACCCTGAGGCCTGGGCACAGGCCGTGCAGGTGGGAGGGCGCTGGGGACGCTGGAAACCGCAGGGTGCAGGTCGGGCGGCTGGAACCCGCAGGAACTGGGGACCACCAGGGCGCACCGAATGGCAGCTGCAGGGGTGACTGCAGGAGCGCCCGAAGCCCACCTGCTCGTCCTCCGAGGACAGCGCGCGCCCCCGGCGGCCCTTCTGCACTCCGCGAGCTCAGGTGCTAGGTGGGCGAGACGGTGTAGCCGGGGTTCCCTTCTCAGGTTCTCTGCACCCCTCGCCCCGGCGCACACACATGCGCAGACAAGCGCGCGCGCACGCACACGCGCGCGCCCCCACGCGTGCACAAGCGCGCGCACACACAAAGTTCTTGGGGGCTACCTTTGCGGACCTCGGTGCTCCAGCTCGCACCGTGCGCGCACCTTCCCTCCCCTTCACCTGCACTCGGGGCACCCCGGGCCCGGTGCTCGGAAGTCCTTCCCGGCGACCCTCCGCCTCTGTCCCTGGGTCCCCCTTCGGACTCTCCCTCTCTGGCCCCCTTTCTCCACCGTCTCCCCTCAACTTCCCCCATCCTTGCTCTCAGCCGCTGCCCCTCTCCACCCTGGTACCCTCCCGCCAGGCGCCTGGTCCCTTCTTTCTCCCCTTCCCCCTCCCCTCCAGTCCCTCTGGATAGAGATCCCCCCC